CGGTGCCGATGGCGAGGATCTTCGGCTCTAGGGTCACCTGGTGGGGACCGGGAGCCGAAGGGATTCGGTTGGACCACGAGCACCCGGACCACGAAGTGCACTCAGATCGGAGGATTCACCGGTACGAATGGAAGGACATCCGAAAGCAAATCCTAACTGATAGCAAGATTAGCAAGCAAATAACACATGATTGACATTTGTCAGTGTAAATCCCAGGGTCTTGGGCATCTTGATGTTCCATGGCCAGTTCTCAAACTTGACCTTCATCATCCTTCCTACTTCGGAGTCACCATCAAACTGGGATGCCTCAGATCTGCTCACCCCGTGGCCTTTCGGATGCGCAAGAGCTCGGTGGTCTCCTGCGCCTGTAGACCTGGGGCAAACCGAGTCGCGTGCGATGCCTTGCGATGGTCGTCTTCGGAGTCTGATCGGAGTTCCCACCAAGGCAGTCTTCAGCAACCTTTCGCACATCATGAGATACCTAGAACCTCAGAGACTCATTGGGCAAGTCATTGGGCAAGAATTTCCGCCCAACGCCATTTACGCCGAACATTCAGCCCGTTTTTGCAAAGAATGCCTAAGCTGCAGCCTCGAGGGTCACAAACGCCGAGGCACAATCACATGCAAACGGCAGAGCCAGAATTTGAATGAACAAGCTTTTGAAAAAACCAACGCTTGCCACCTGACGCTAATTCCAAGTCTAAAGTATTTGAAACTCATGTCTCTCACTCCCTCCCAGAAGGCTATTCAGTTGTCCCCCAACTACGGATTGTAGTGAGGGGGGAACGGGTAAGAACGCCTAAGTGCCGGGAAGAACACTTACGCCAAAATATATTAAAGCCCATTTAAACAATGATAAAGAAAACCTAGCCTAGAAAACTAAACCATACAAAAGAGAAACATCAAGTGAATCCACAATAAACAAATGTACCTCACTATGGAAGTTCCATGAACCAGTGGCGGGTGGATCCTCATCTGTTTGAGCAATGCCACCAAAAGGACAAGAACGCCTAGAGGGGACAAGAACGCCTACAGGGGGCAAGAACGCCTAAGCACGGGCAAAGCCGACTTTACCCATAATAGGCAAACATTTCTGCCCAAGAAGAGGTTCTAGGTATGATTGTTTGCAGCAACTACATCCAACTACCACTCATTGACTCGTATATAGAATTATTTTGAAGTTCATCATTTTCTTGTGGAACTTGGTGTAGCCCTCTTGACCATGTCTCTCGGATCATCATCGACCCAGGGTTTGAATAAAGAAAGGCCACTGGTCACACGTTCACCGGAGGCGTTTTAGGGACATCTATATACTCAGGTCATGTTTCACATTCACATCTTTCACAAGACAAGTTATCCTTAGACCCTGAGACTCTGAGGGGTAATCTTCCGAATGTAGAAATTTACTATACAAAGATTTATGTAATGCAGGCCCTCGATTAAACAATATGCCCCCCCCATGTGAAGATTACGAAGAGGTTTTACCAATGGTCTTACCCTCCAAATGGGAGGGGGTTCATGAATCGAAAGCGGTATACACTACCTCATACTACTATTACGTGCAACATCCACCTCCCAAGCGCCGCATGATCGGCCGATTTGTCTGTTCAACTAGGCACCAACCGCCAGGCTTTCGACGCGCCGGAAGCAGCTGGAGGTGTCTTCGGCCAACAACTCCCGGTCTACCACGACCTGCTGGGAACATGGAGTGCCGGTGGACAGCCGACCCAAGTGACACAACGGTTTGCTCCGGCCACCAGCCAAAGGGTCTATGTTCCATGTGGGATCTTGGCAGTTGACTTGGACGTGCGGCCTTGCCTTCCGCAAACCAATTGAAATGTCAATGCTGGGGTAGGGAATGGCGGGAACGGGAAGCCAACGCTGTGTCCTTTGTCCAATAGCTCATTCAAATTTGGGTATAAACCATATCCGACTACCTGTAACAGTGGATGATGATGGTTGGTCAAGGCCTTTCCCGAATATTACTGTAATGATCATTATATAATCATTGCAGTATTATACTGATCGTGTGCGATCATATTCTACCAACGGCTACTGGTAGACTAGACACACCCAGTTTCGAATCAAGCTGAAACATCCCAGGTCATAAGAACCGTCCCACCCGCTGCAGAGCCACCATACCACTCCACAGCTGTGAGGGAACTGGGAATCCTCTGGTGGAATGTGGAGTCTGTGATCAACCGGGCCGACCTTCATCGTTTCTGGAACTGTCCTTGTTGGTACGCTGAAGAGCCACCGTTTAGCTGAGCTGAACTACCACAGGCCGAAAGCCATGTGATTTTCCTGCCGACATGTGTCGAGCCCTGCCCTTCTTCCAAAAAGAAGGCCCCTTAAAGCAATGGATTCCAACCCCAAGAAGCAGCACTGGTCATCAAAAGGCTGAAAAGGGGTCCAAAGGCTAAAGCATATCTTGAGGGTCACTCACTTTGGGTTCTATGGGGTCTATGCCGTAGTGGCCAAGGTCATCTTGATAGCTTGTATGTTTGGCATTCCGTACGCCTCCCGCTATATGGTGTAACCATGTGTAACCAACTCCAAGGTCGTATTGTGGACTCCATGTGGGCTCCATGTGGATTTCAAAGGTCATCTTGTGTAAGAGTCCACATCACCCATGGATTTCCTCCACACCTCCCGCTCTTGAAGGTCCGTCCTGGAACACTCCGTTGGTGAACCGAACAGCTGAAGAACACTCCGACTCCATGCCTCCTCTTTCCGCAACAAATTCTCCACGTTGCCCTTCGGGGAGACGCAGGGTCTCAAGCGTGACAAAGGCCTTGGGAGGTCTACCATCAAGGAGAAAACTGCGTGTAAAGCCGGTGTTTTTGGTGGAGGTTCCTTGATTCAAGGGGCGCAAAGTATCGTACTCAGAGGCGACATATCAACACCCACAGCTGCAACCCGGATCATCTCTGGAAACCCTGAAGCCAAACCCACCAATTTCATGAAAAGCCACCTTGTCTGTGCCCATGGTTCCCGACCCACTCAAGCTGTGCTTAGCCCAGCGGCATCAAGACCTCACCCATCCGTTCGCCCCAACGTTCTGGCCATCTGAGCTGCCAAAAGCGGCCGGACACCGCCACCACCTGGGGAGCGGTGTTTTTGGGTGACGCTTCAGTTTCTTCAGATAGGGCAATTCCCTGAATGTCCTTCTTCCAGTCACCAAGGGGTGGTTCTTGGGCCTAAGTGAGTGGATGATGGGCACCCCTATCCTCCAAGTTCGGCACCCCGTCTTGTGACTCCTGGTTATTTGACACATGTCTGGCGCCTTGAAACGAGTTTCACCCTGCAGGTCCCACATTTCACCCATTCCCAGGATGCTTGGTCAAGCTCCGTGGGCCCAAATGGATGGTTTGGTCCACCAAAGCGTCCCACTCAGCCAGTTCAATCGCCGAGGTGTTTGAGTTGTGACATGGGCGGGCAATAGAGTAGAGTTCCCTTCCGAAGCCCCCAGGACCCGCGGGGACGACTGAGCCTGCCTGAGCCACCGCCCACCCAGCAGGCGTGGTGTCGGTGGGCAAAACCTCGTACTCCACCTGAGCCGAAACATCGAGGCATACGGCGTCAAGGAGTCGTTCGCATCCTTGAAGAAACCATTTAGAAAGGAAGCCATAGCCCATGGTTGCGGCAGCTAGCTTGCGTCAACTGGAAATGCAGCTCAATTCCAGGCTTGCCACCTGGCCCATCTCAACATGAACAAAATGAGCCTTACTCTTGAACCCAGAACTTCCGCCCTTGCATTGCTATTTTCGGCCGTTGCACGGCCACATGCTCGCCGGCCGTGCGTGCTCCAAAAAGGCCGCCCAGTCGCTAGTTCTCCGGGCTGAGGATCAAAGCCAGTGAGGTCTGCATCTGCTGGAGGTGGGAGACGCACATCCTGACGATGCCAAACAATGGCTTCAACAAACCAAGCCATGGACTTGACATGCTACAGAAAGAAACCAGGGAAAGCCACAGTTCGAAGTCATCTCACACAAGCCCATTCTCTGATGGCTTCAAAGGCAAGCTTCAGCTTGCAAGGCAATGACGAGATGCCCTCCCTGGAAAGAACCTCTCTACGTCTACTCAACACCTGTGGCTGGTGACATCTCGAGATTGCACCTCCCGATCCTCCCAACTCGAATTGAAGAAACGATGAATCTCTTCGTTCTTTAACTCATTGCCTACGTGCCCACAAAAAGGGTGGTTTATGGACACCCCTGACTATGTGCCCATCCAATGACCACCCCTTTCATGGTGCTGGGCACGAGCCCATCCAATAACCACGTCCTCGGTCCATCGAGTCGCTACGTGGGGGAGCCCCGTGCCTGCACCGGGAAGCTGGGCTGTGTGAGACTTCGGTCCCCAGTGTCGCAGGCCACGCAGGTGCCGCTGCCAGGGACCTCGTGGAGGTCCCACAGCCGCGCGCGATGCCAAAGGAAGGGATGCGAGGGCCATCGGACCTCCACGGTGTCGAACATGCGTTCTTCGCCTCCGGTTCTTCGAGCCGAAGAAGACGGCGACCTGTACCAAAAGCTTCAAACAAATGCTTACATGTACAAGCAGGCTTGGCAAAAGGGATGGTTGTGCGGTGATGCTTGGATAGATGTTGTAGTCGGATGCCGGTGCTATGGATTTCTCGACATGCATCGCAATGGAGGTGCTGCTGCGTTGGATGCTTGTGCCAGTGCCTGGTTCTTTGCTATGGCATCATCTCTTGCCCCGCCAAAATAGAAACATTTATTCGACTTTGCATTGGACTTCAGGCCCCTTTTTCAAGCCAAACCACCCCCTCACCACGAGCCAAATGCGGCAAGGTGTTGGCATCCAAGGTCTCAACGATACTGAAATTGTGTGCCTGCGTGTCCCTCCACTGAGTGACGGGTCAAAGTTTGCCCCTCTCTCTCTCTATACATAATATTATTACCATGTAAGGTTCCTACAATCCAGCAGCAGCTGCTCGTCAAAACCCGCTTTACCCTCTGAGCCGCTCTCAGCATGTCCTCTTGCTCAGCTCTGGTAGGAGCTCCTCCTCCACGTGCACCAAAGCGGCATAGACCTCAAAGGTCTGCTCTCAGAGCATTGTCAATGCATGTCAATGCTGACCCACTTCGAGAATCTATGAGGTAGGAGGTGGGATGGGATTGTTATGTTGTTTCTGCGATGTTTCTGTAACAAATCCAAAGAAATAATGTGGTGATGAGTGGATTCTGACAAGGTTTGAGAGATGCGGTTCCGCAAGAAAATCTCATCAAAGATTGATTGTTGATTATTGCTCAGTTGAGGCATGTTGAGGCCCTTCAGCTGACCCTGCGAGCTACACAGTTGAGGCCCTCCAGCTGACCCCCTGCTAGTCATCCCGACGCGGGAGACGTTCGGCAGGGAATCCAGGGGCTTCGCGAGGTCGAGCCTCGGTGGTGCACCGCCCCGAGGACCCGAGTTGGGGCCGCAAAGAGGGCGGGGCGGGTTGGAGCTGCCTTTTGGGGGACTCCCTGAGCAACAGGGATTTAGAGAATTTGGAGTCCCAATTTGGCTGCTCCCTACAAACCACTCCATGTCTTCTGGTGTGGCGGAGGAATATGGAGTGTGGAGTGTTGGTTGTTCCTGTGGCCTGTGCAGAACTGTTCTCCTGAAAGCAAGAATAGGAGTGGTCAGAGTGCACTCGATCTGGCTGAAACAAGCCCAGTTTCACTAACTCGCTCAAGCTTTTTTGATGTATATAATTATGTCTATTCAAGCGACAGCCTATCTCAGCATTGGAGGGCCATAGAGGGCCACAAAGCTCCACAACAGTCAACCACCCCAACTTCAAAGTGGCACGTTGTTTCCCTGTCTAGCACGTGTCGACGTCGACCAATCCCGCGGCTCCGCCCAGCGAGCGGCTCTCCCAGGAAAGCGGTGAACAAAGTCCCATCCTATACATTCCTATTTGTTATGCTCTGGAAAGTGGAGTGCCTTTGGCATGTCACATGTCCCCATACATGAATCATACATGTCCATCACCTTGAAAACAGGAAGAGTTACTTAAAAGATCTTAAAAGGGAATAAAACCAATGCATCCAATGCTTTGCGACTCTGCAACAAATGTCAAAGGATTAGGACTGAATCCACGCCCAGCGAAAGAGATGATGTCCATTTTGGTCATCGAACTACCGGCAACTACAGCAACCGGCCCTGGCCTGGCCTCCGCTCCATCAATAGAGGCGAGCGGATGTTAGGGGGATGCCCCCAGGCTAGTCTATCATGACCTTGATGCAATCATATGCCCTCACAAGAATACAGCAAGAGCTGAGCCAGCTCATCGACACCTGGGGGCTACGCTCGAAAAAGGAATTCACCCAGTCACCCTTTCGAGCCGGAGGCCGGTGCTTCACCGGTCTCAGCAGGTCTTGAAGGCCAAGACTTGAGTACCTCAAAGTGACTCAACTCATCATACCCCCGGGGTCGAGAGACCGGTTCTGGGGTGGCAAGCGGCCAGGTGGCCAGGCAGCGGCCACGTCGGGAAGTTCTCGCAACAGATTCTCAAGCCCTGAATGGTCATATAGCGGTGGGAATGATACCACGTCTTTCCTTCGGTTATAACTTAAAGAAACATAAAGAAACCATTACAGTAATCAAGTGTGTTTACTTGATTTGGTTTCAGCTGAGCTCGCTATGCTGTTGGGCTGTTGGTTGCCTTTAAGATCCTTTCTTAGCGTCTGTTTAGCTTTTGCTGCTGGCATCACTGTCACCGCTACTGCCACTCCTACTGCTAGGACGAGGACTACTATACTACCATGTGAGGAGTGTCTGTGGGGGCTATCTCTATTCGGTCTCTCTCAGTGATTTGGTCGGGGAAGGGGAGTTGACTATTTCCAATAACATTAAGAGGGGTATGAAACACCATCCGTTGGGTCCGCCAGGCGTGTTCTGACAGGTGACCACACGTGGCTACCGCAATGGCCGCCATGGTCGGCTGTTGGGGGATGACAACATCAACGATGCAATGCTGAGGATCATTCTCCCGTGACCTGCTGACCTCATCCGACCTCCAAAAAAATTGATCATGTCTTGCCAGGGTGCTGTCTCTGGCACAGCGTTGTGCGCTCAGAAGCAGCTCTTGGAGCAAATACAGGATGGCCTGAGCTCCGAGTTCCATAGAGATGGAGGTCCTAAAATTATATCTAAGTCTAAGTTCCACTTTCTTGTTTGGAGAGGAGTTGAAAACATGTCCGTCCTCAATGTGCATGTTGAATCATGCCGTTTTTGCACCTTTTTGCGCGTGGCCTCTCCCGTCGCCAGGCCCAACAACTACCGGTGATTGCCATCGCAAATGCCCAGGCTTTGGGGACTGGGAGAGAGCCCGGGCGATGCAGCCAGGTTGGGGGAGATGCAGCGAATACGGTGCCCGAACAAGTCGGGTCGCTCTTGTAGCCTTCGCTGGTCACCGGTCACCCCCAGCTGAGGAGTTTGGTAGAAGGCTTACGGCTAGCCCTGCTAGGCAAGCTAACTTTATATACAAATCGATAGTTTGGGGATGTTGTGGGGTTCTAGTTCTACTAGTATCCTGTGACTTGTTGTGGCTCCACATGCCCACCTTCCACTCCTGTATCCCAGTGGCATAGACGTTCACCATCCAATCAAAGAGACCTCGCACAGCAGCTGCAGTACCCGTGCGGCGTCGGAGGATCAGGAGCACCTCACCCAGTCTCAAGGTGGATGCGCAAAAAAGCCTCAGAGGGCCGTCGACCATGGGAGCATGGGCATTGGTGTGCTCCCCAGCAGGCCGAACGTGCGCTCTACGAGTCCGTCCTGCTCTCTCTCTCTCTCTCGCTCGCTCTCTTGCGGGCATGACTCAACACTTTGAGCCGTCTGACAAAAACTCCAGACTCGTCGAGGGTCACATTGGATAAGGCTTTGGGTTTTCTGCACCAGCGACCAGAAGATGCGTCTCAAACGTGGCCCGCCCATGAAAGGAGGTTCCATCCCTGGCCATCGAAGCTTAAGTTCTGGGGAGCCCCAAATTGAGATCCTTCTGCAAAACTCGTCGGAGGCATACAAATCTCCAAAACTCTGAGGCCGTGCAGGCAACTGGTATGCACCGAGGTGACTTCACTCCAAATTGATTCCTACAATGAAATCTGGCAGTCAACCGATTGGCAATCTTTTTAGCAAAGTTCTGGTCAATCATTCCATCTATCACACTTCTGCCGCTTTTCATCTCTCCCCCTTCTGGCTATAGAACACTCCCACAATCCCTCACTGTTCTTCAATCTTCACCGGGTGTCTGCATGGCGAACTCCTGCGTGGCCTCCGGGATCTGCACCGGCGGCGGAAACAGCAGCGGCAAACGAATCCGCCGCGCGCGCACCAGGCGTTTCAAGGTCACGCTCAAGGCCTCAAAGCGTGGCACCCGCCGTGGGAAGAGAGATGTTTTGTTTTTTAATATCTTTTTTGTTTTTTTTTCGTCAGGTTTCGTGAGGTTTTTCGTCAGGGACTGGATCAAGTTGGAAGTGCACAATATGTAAATGACTAGGACCAATCATGGTGCCAGACATGTAAAAACAGGGAACCCGAAAACGGATGCCAGCCCCGGCCCTGGCAATTGTTTAACTATCTGCAATGATGGCAATATATAACTATGTATTATACCTGAACCTTCAATCGTAGCTTTTTTTCTGGCGAACCAAGGAAATGGGCACTTTTTGGAGCTTCGTAGCGTTTTTTTGATGAAACGCGCACTTCTTAATAAGTTTTAATAAAACGAGCACTGAGCATTTTTTCAAAATGTTGAACACTGAAGTCTTCTTGGGAGGCCAGCCTTCCGTGGGTTTGTACACGTCGTAATCGATGGGACCCCGCAGCCGCGGGTACCCGATCTTGAGCGGGGCTTGAAGAATGGCTGCTACCCCCTTCGATTCGCAGCCTCATCGCTGCCAAGGTGCTGAGACCAAACCATCAGCCAAAAGCATTAAGGAGGGCTGCGGCTTGGAGGCCATCAGGAAGTCTGCACATGAGTGGTGGCTGGGAGGCTGCGGCTGAGAGGGAGCAATTGTTCAATAATTTAGTTTTGTGATAAAAGGATGAGGGCTTGGACAGGGGGCGTCCTGCGCCTTAGATGGAGATGAAGATGGGCCAAGAACCTTCGGAAGCGAAAGAAAGGAGCAACATGGGACCATGACATGTCTTTTTCATAGGGTCCTTCCATACGTTGGAGAACGAAGCGCACATGAAGTATGGGCCCATAGCTATGGCACCCACGGGTGGGGCATAGAACAGGCCGGGGCCAGGGCGAAGAAACAACACATAATGTCCTTCACCTCAAATAGCCTCGAAACCTTCATTATTTGTTGGTATTTGTGGGATTCACCCAGGCAACTGGCACCAGGGCTCAAAAGCTTCCAGTATCCTGTAGCTACAGAACTTGAAAGGACAGCTCCTCCTCTGGAGGTGTGGACTCTATCCCATGCCCAAAGAATTCTCCACTCTCTTCTTCCGGCCGAACCCGCTGATGTGGATCTGCACGAGATCCCCGATCAGCCTGCTGGCCAAAAGAGATTGAAGGAAAAGGGCCGCCCATCTCGCGCATCTGTGAGGAGATGCTTGTAGATCGTCCTGCTGAAAGCAGCAGAGCAGGAGCGAGTTAGTTCGCTAAGCAAACGCGAACTCGCTATGCTTCGGGAAGGTGGAGAAACACACAAATCAACCGTCAAGCTATTTTTTGAGAAGTGTTGCACGAGTGAACACAGTGATGCAAACATGACATTGCACGTGACCTACCTGCATTTTGAGCCGGTGCAACGGCCTGGTAGAACAAAACCAGTGGTTTGGGGGGTTCTTTGGGTGCATCATTTTGAGCAACTTGAGATAAGATATGATAAGATAGAACTGAAAATTAAACCAACCAGGCAGTTTGGTGGTGCAATTGCCCACTCGCTCTCTACAAGCTGCCAGGAGTTTCTGCCATTGCCATAGCCTTTCTGTTACAAGGGTGTCTACTCTCCCCGTGTCACTACTCTCTCTCTCTCTCTCTCTCTCTCCCTCTCGCTCTCTTTGTCTCCTCTCTGTAGGTATCTCCGAGTTGATGCCATAATTTTAATGTCTTTTCGTCCACACCGTGATGGCATCTCAGTCGGCCGCCTCGCGCACGTCCGGGTGACGCAGAAATAGACAAGGAGGGCGAGCCAACGCGAGGCTTCCTGAAGAGTGCGGGGTTTGTGGGCCAACGCTCCAAAGGACAAGCAAAGCCAAGGTTGAGCACGTCAAGCAAAACGGTATACACTGCAGAAAGGGAATCCAAGAAACTTACGATAAGGGCATACAATATATACAAGGGATTACAAGGGTATTGAACCAATTAGTTTTGTCAATTTACTTCTCGAAAGCAAAAACATGTGCAACACACCAGCGTCAATATGCGTCAACCTTGAACTATAATGAACAAAACACCTTGACATATTCCCCAAGAGAAACATCATCTCCGCATGTCTAATCACCTCAAAACCTTCATGCTCTCTCTAGTGACCATGGACTCTTGCACTGACTCTTGCGACTTTGTGGTGCAACTCTTGGGGCTCTCTGCGGCGCAGAGAGGGCTCTCCTTGGCCGTGACAAATAGGACCTGCCACGAACTAATGATGCCACGGCGATACCTGGCATAGATGGTCATGAGATCAGGAGCTGGAGCTGCTGGCCATGTGTCCACACTTTCTGCAAGGGACAAACAGCAACAATATAACACTTTTGGTGCGTACGACCCCTGTACACATGTAACTGTTTTCTATTTTGGGGTATTGTGGGGAAAGGCCTTTACTAACCCTAATCATCCACTGTTACGGGATACATATATCTTTCAATCCTACGGGGGCTCCTGGCTCGAACGATTTGAGCATCCATGCCCAGTCAGACTGTGGTTCTAACTTCCTATAGATGCTCTCAGCTTTAAAACCTTTAGCCACTCAGAGTTGTCGAAGTGGTGGTGTGCTTTTCGACATCTAGAAGGGTTGAGAACATTAGCTTGGTGATCAAGGTTTGGCTGTCCACCATTGAGCCATATTGAACCACCACATGCTACCCAACGGGGTAACTTGTGCGTGTTGTGACCCTTTCGGCTGATCAGAAGATTGATGCCAGTCGGCCACCGAGGATGCCCCGAAACTGGAGCAAAACATGGCAAGTGTAGTAAAAAGGCATCAAAAGCCCTCACAACGGCATGCCAAAGAATCCCGCCCGAAAAGGTAGAGAGAGAGAGAGATGTTTTCGTACTTCTCAGCTGGGGCACCGGTATCCGCAGGTGGGACACAAGAGCGCGGCAGTGGGCGCCACTCGCGTCCAGTGAGCGAAACAGGAACGATGCACCCACTGCCTGGGCTGGCTGAGATGGTCCGTGCGGCTTGGTCTCAGGAGGAAGGCCATGCTAAGGAGGAGTGTTGGATGGTTTTTGGTTGCTAGGTGTTGCTAGGTGTTGCTACGTGATGCTGGGTGATGCCAGGTGTAGGTTGCCTTTTCATGCACATCGTTTGAGTGGGTCAGGCCACCCCCGAAGTTCTGTGTTGGACAATCCAACCAGCTAACTGGAAGGCTGGGGCTGGGCTAGGGCAACCCATTGGTGGAAGATGCACCACAAGGATTCTTCTGCTCAGGGTAGGGACCAATGAAGCCTGCACACACGAGACACTGAGTCGGTGATACAACCAGACCGTCTTTGGGGGAATCTTCAATTCCTACACTCACTTCGGACCCTCGGCCTTCAACGACGGCGCTGGGCGGTGGTCAGGCGGTACCCTGACAATTGCCCACCCCGGAAGATTGCATTCCTCTATCAACCAAATGTTAGTCTTCGGGGTGGTGTATGAAATGAGAAAGAACTTCAGGCCACACCATCAAAAGGACGAAGCCCTGGATTCCTGCTTCTGACTGACATCACAACTGCGCATATACTTGTCGGATCTTCGCCTTGCGTGCCTCCTCAAATCCGTCTCACCCAAGACCCACCGAGCGACTGCGTGCCGCGACAAAGGCAGGGCTGGAAGAAGTCCTCCACATTCTCCGAATCCCAGCAGATGCGACAGGGACCCACCTCTCCCGGGCGCCGACGACAGAGTCGTCACGTGGGCCCAAGGAGTGGAAGCGAATGTGTGGTGTATATATTATAGTATATACATATATAGAGAGAGAGAGCGAGAGAGAGATTGTGGATGATGGGGTCCTTGATTAGGGATACTGCAGCAAAATGCAGTATAATCAGTAAGTACTAGTATATACTGCAATCGAGTGGCCCTTTCAAATCAATCTGCAGATATCTGCAGCCTTTTCAATGCCACCACCTCGAACCCGTCAAAAAATGGTCCCAAATTGCCTAGAGTGAAGATGGAGCAGCTGAAATATCACAGGAACTTGGCTATATATATCTGGTGTCTAAAGTCCACATTTGTCCGCCGCAGGGGTAGTCCCAAGTCACCTGTATATATCCTGCCTGTCCACAGTCTCATGATCTCTCTCTCCCTCTCTCGCTCTCTCTCTCTCTCCCTCTCTCTCTCTGTCTGTCAGTCCATCTGCCCCAGCGGCACGGAGCGATGAAAAGCCCCCTCGACACAAAAGATAGAGAGCGAGAACAAGGACCAAAAGGTGGGTGGCCCTCCCTGTGTGTGCTCCGATTTCGTGTCGAGCGTTTCCGCGTTGGCCACAAGTTCACGATTTCGTGCCGAACGTTTCGAAGGCAAAAGACCAATGTGTTGAACAAATCGGACTCAGCTGAGGCACGGCTTCTGACTCCATTACTCCATGCGGGGGCAGGTGGCGAAGTGAAGTCCCCAAGTCCCCAAGTCGCAAGGGTGGTCTTCAGCAGTTCACCACTGCCTTACTACCCCAAACAACCGGTGAGCTGTGCGCCAATGGCGCCACTGTGCGTTTTTTGACACATGTTTTGCTCTTGCTGTCGCCCTTGAATGTCGGGGATCTGGGCCATAATCATTCTCTTGCATGTTTAGTTCCAACTCGCTGATCAAAATGACAAACGTGTCTTGCTTCTAGTCCCATCTTGGCTTCCTTGGGTTGAACGGGCAGTGCATATCCCAACGCCTGTATGGGTGTCTTACAGTGCTGCATGAACATATAATAATGCCCCTCTCCTTGCTCTTCCTGTCTTGAGCCACAAATGAGCCATCGCCAGGAGCTGAGAACAGCGACAAATCCTCAGAGAACCGCACCTCCAAAATTCAACCAAAACGATTGATAAGAACTATAACTTAACTACTTTGTGCAACCCAAAATCGTCCCATCTATTTTGCCAGCCAAAACAGTTGCCTCAAGATTCGCAAGAATCAAGCGGCCACCTCCAAGAACAAGAAGAACAACAATGAGAAACAAATTGGCAATAACAACAACGACAACAACAACCACAATCCTCAAAAAGGGTCAACCTGTATCCACCTGGATCTCATGAAAAATATCATTCCTCGTTGTGAGGTTTGCTAAGCAGCGATGTTCAACTGGCGGTGCCAGGGTGCCAGTGTCATCGAACCTCTGAAATCACTCCGCTGAGATCACCGGGTCCGCTGAGAACCTGGGGCGTGTGCTGCTCCAGCATCGGCTTCAAACACCTGCGCCCGCCCGACTGGGACTGAGATCAGCAACCCCAGCAGTACCCATCGTAGGCAACTCCAAGGATCGTATTGTGGAATCTTTACCTATACTATGACAAAACAGAATAAACCGTCTAATTATTCTATATTATTCTAATTAATGATCAATAATTGAATATAATATTGGAGTATGCAGTATGTCTATAGCAGCCACCCTCGTAGAGTGTAGACTTTTGGAGCTGCCAGTCGGCCAGTCATTTGGCCAGTCATTTCGCGTTTCTTCTTTGGATCATCGATTCAAGGCCAATGGCCCAAGGTCTTATCACTACATCTTTTGGGAAGATTCCTGTTGCCTTTCAGGTCTGGCTCCGGCCACCGGCTCGACCCACCGCTCGTCCCAGGTCCCGCGGCCACCTGTCGATTAAGGTGCGACTGTCCACGGCCATCGTCACCCCCAGCTCTCCTTGGCTCGAGAGCCGCAGTTCACATCAGCGGCATCCCCCAGGAATCCGGTGAGGCCAGTTGTTCACGCAGCGCGACTTCTTGGGCCGGTGTTCAAATCAGGATGGCCACCCGAGCACAGGGCACGCTGAAGGCGGAGGTTTTCCTGCTTGCTCTTGTTCAATGGTTTCCGTCCCTGACTCTGACCAGAAAAGGTTTCCTGACTCGGACGATTTTGTGTCCTCACGCACGGTTTCCTGACTCTGTCTTCTCCCAGCTCACAAAGGCTGTAGCTGGACTCCGTTCACCCAGACATTCTCCCGAGCACCCGACGAAGGAAGCCCAACCTGGGTGAGTCAATTGAATTCATTGGGCACACCACTGCACACCCATTTGTGGATGGACACCGGCCTTTTCAGACTGAGAAGTTCTGCCTGTTGAGACTGAGTTTCATTCCAGGTCTCGAGATGTTAAAAACGTCGTTCAACTGAAGGGAGCTTGGGCTACGATAACACGTTTCGAGGTGATTGTTTAGCGCCGGATTTAGTGGCACAGTACAGTGATCATCACATGTTTCTTTTCCTCTATATAATGATTGCCAGGGTGCACCTGAAGTAAGAGTTATCAAAACCTGCTCGCAGGCACGTCAGGAGCTCAATGCATTGAGTCTGAAGTACAGTTAAGAGGTGCCCGGCAAAGACTGAAGTATGTACTACAGCAGGAATGTTGAATTATACAATTCAATTCTGCAGCGCAAACATGCAGCGTCAAAGTCAAGCTGGCCCAGTCCAAAGCGTAGCATTTCTGCAAGAATACTTGCGTTTGCCCTTCAAAATCGTCGAGGACTGAGCCGCCAAACTTAAATGTATAACATAATGTAACATGTTTAAGGCAATGCGTGAAACACCTTATACTCCACACGACTCTCCATACGCCATACGACATCATCCATTTTCTACCGGGACAAAACCGCGATGGTCTCACCACTCGGGTCACCAGCGACGGTCACCGCTGGGCTTCCAGGCGCCTTGGGTGTGAAGTGCGTTGCCCGAGCTGGGAGCACGGGCGCTGCTGCGAGCCTGGGATGAGGCGTCCATGGAAGGACCGGACGGACTTTCCGCATGGAAGGGCCTACCCGATAGTTCAAGCAAACTCCTATCTGATAGGGGAGCTTAACTACTCTGAACTTCCTGATGACAACGCTATCAGGCCTACCCTCACGGGACTTCTGTGTGAAAGTCAGACAAAGTCAGTAAAGCCAATCGGTGAAGTCCAATTCCTTGCGCGAAAAACACGGCACCACACGGCCACGGCGACGAAGTCCTCGTCCCGTCGGGACTTGAGTTTCTGGGCCCGTTCGGACTTGGCAGGCGGACCTCGGAGATCTGAATCAGACGACGTTCGCAAGCAGAACAGCTAACCGTCTTGGCAACTGGAATGGTGCAAATGGAGTGCAATGGGGTGCATGGTGTAACGACCGGAAAGTCACCATGCATGGCCCACCTTGCAAAAGTCTGGGCCTTGTACCTTGTTTCTGCCAGCTGGGCCGGGCTGAGCCTCCGAGATCCCCTACGTTGTGGAGGAACGGCGCAAAATCCGCGGAGAGGCATTGCTCCAGATTCCAGCAGCCAGCCTGGCGCCGCTCAAAGTGCCGCGGCGCTACGTAAGCGCGGCGCACCGCGGAGCGAAAGTCACCGCCGTTGCCATCGCCCTTTTATGGTCAATGATTAATTACATGGTCCAGCTTCTATCGGATTCTATCGGCTTCAATCTGGGCCGACACCGCAAAGGGCTAGGCCTCATCATAGGGCAACCTCTTCAAAGAAGCGCCGTAGTGCTGTAGCAAGTCCATCTGATCCGGAGCCACTGCCTGTACTTGGCTGCAAATGGTGGGCCTCTTGGGGTTCTGCCAAGCCCTTGCCTCTGAGGGCAACCAAAGACGTTCAACTCATCCCCTGTTTTCTGGCCGCAACTGAAGAAGAATTAATGAAACACAGTGCCCACCCCACTCCTTTTGGGAGAGGAAGCCACCTGGCCACTCAAGATTCTACACAGTCGCCCAAATCCTCCAAGTGCTTTCATCTGCAGATTCCCACGAGTCCTGAACACTGGAGGTCAAAGCAACTGTAAACTTGATTGGCTAATGTCTGAGTCATGCTCAAAAATAGAAGCTTACCCAAGGAACTTGGTTCTTCTTTATATATCTGCAAGCAAAATTGCTTGAACATGACCTTCAATGGCAGTACAGGGCAAAGGCACACGCACACACATAATGTTCAAGAAATCTAACCTGGATACCCGCAGCAACATCTATCTGATTTCCTGGATGCCTTTGCTCACCAGCAGTCTTGGAACTGGAAGAAAAAAGTGACGTTGAAGGTGCTGCGCTTGATTCCAAGTGGTGCACTATTGATACTATCGTCCAATTCAACATTATATAGTTGCAATGGTTGGGAATCAGGACCAGGACCGCCTCCCACGCCCAAATCCAGCTTCAACTCATTTCCAAATATCTACTTCATTCGTCGCACATAAAGAGGACCCAAAATACCAAGAAGCTCGGTCCAAAACACAGCTTCCCCAAGAGATACGGAAATGATGTATTCTGCACTAACATGTCAACATGATTGTTGACTCAACATGCCCAAGATTGTCCAATTCCCGAACCTGGACCAGGAGCCACCAATCCTCGGTGAGGACAGCTTGGATCCACAAACGTCTGTACTTGCCATGCATCAGTGTAGGTACCACTGGAGACTTCCGACAGTGTTCCACTGTTTAAATTGGTTTCATGTGAAGCACTTCTTCACTGGCATACAGTCTTCCCGTCATGGCTCTTGTTCTTGTTATAATAACTCAGGTAGTTGCAAAAGCTGGCCTCCAAGTTCCGTGCCAGAAAAGAGCCTTGTTATCCTGAAACCTGCATGTTATTGCCCTTTCTAGAATTTCCATGGGTGTTGAAGCGAGATGGCACCACTCAGGAATCTGAAAACGGGGAGCAGGAGGAGGAAAAGAAACAATACATCTCTCTCAATGGGTTTCCAAGTGCCTCCTTAGAAGCTACATATAGGCTTTCATGTGCGAAACTACCACCTTTGGTCGCAACCGCCAAGCTGCTGGATCCACCAGGTGGTGAGCAAGCCGACGGCCCTGATTCTTGAGTGAGGGATTCTGAGGTTGAGAGAATCAAATTTGACTCTACTAGTAGAACTGGGTTGGCATAGGGCCCGGTAACCGTTGCATGAGTACAATTACAAGTTGGCACTCAGTTTTTTCTTTCTCCCACTCATGAGTATAACACGACAAGATGTTTCCGGGGCGTAGCCCGCTATTGGGCCAGCCTGGGACTGGGAGCTCAATATTTGCTGGGAGTTCTCGTAGAGATGTCGGCACTCCGCTCTCATCTTTCTCCAATGCAAGCCATGTGTCGTGCTGCCTGTTAGTGGAGCTTCATGTCCACGAACCACCAACAAGGGCTCCATGGGTGGTGATCACCAAAGGAAGACTGCTTAGTCTAGTGTCAAGCCTGGGCTTCCTGCAATAAAACTAGCTGCGACCAGGGTGTTTCCACACGCAGGCCCCTGACCCGCTATGAACATCCCTTGTCACACCCACTTTCACCCTTGACCTCTAACCACCACCCCAAAGCACATTCGCCCCATGTTCACACCCCTAAACCCTAATGTCGCCTCATGGATATCCAGTTGGACCAGCAAGCTGTCAGCCTGCAAGCCAAAGACCATAAAGCGCCTCAACTGCAACGCCAAACCCGCAGGGAAGAAGCGCTTTCTACCGGTTCAGCGGTCGGAAGCAGCAACGCAATTCCATGGACATTTGGGTCAACATGATGCGATGTTTCTTTCATGGAAGGAAGGCCAAGGCAGTGTCAAGGTGACTTGGGTCCTCAGGTGACCTTTGAGTGCATTGTTACATGACTGTCCCACCCCTTCTTGAGATGTTGATCTGGACTGCCCCTGTGGCGGATTGATCAAGTACAGCGTTGTTGGGAAGTTGTTCAGCCGTTATGCAGTTATATTGGGGACCAAGACTTAGGATTTGTTAGGTTCATGAGTGTTTTTCCCCTTCTAATAATTTTCACCATTGCAGGAATCCGCAAGAGTGTGTCTTAGGATTCCTGATTTTACTATTTTTTGGTTCATGACTTAGGCTTTGTGGTTTTGGGGAACATCTCTTTCCTCATGACATGGGACTTGTGATCTTGACCATGCGTCCGACTAATCCGATGTCAGCGGCAGTAGTATCTGTTTACCTTGCTCTATCTGTTTACTTCGCAGGGACATCCCCAAAGCGAAAGCTTCTGAGAACATGGTCCATCCAAAGATTCAGGTCCTAACTAGTGAGGGACAAAGAAATGCAGCTGAGCATCTCCCAGCGAAGAGCTTCCACCAGGGCCTAACCAGCGAGCACAGCGTTCGATCCACGTTTCCTCGTTTCTTGGCCAGGTCATGGAGATTTGTAGGAACTTCTTGGACTGCTTTGTACATTCATGTAGCTTGGTTACCCGAGTGATGGTCTTGTAGAACAAATTGTGGAATTGTGGACCATCTTCCCAGCACCTGCCGCAACCACGGAAGGGCCTGTAGCATCCTGATGCACATGGTCTGAAGCCCAGGTGAGCGAAAGTTGCAATTCCCCGTGATTGACTAAATCTCTCTCCAAACCTAACACCTATGTCCATCCTTGTAGGCCATGTTGGAAGCACCTGGCCTATATAACAAAAAAATAGGTACGAGCACAGGTGACAAGCATCCGCTCGAACCATCATGCTCAAGCCACATGGCAGCAACAAAGCACCCCTTCCTCCACCTATAGAACCTAAAGCCAGATCTAAACCCGCCGCCTTGGCCGGATGCAGCTCCAAAGGTACTTCGGCCAAGGGCTTGGCTCCACGACAGCTGACCTCCCGGACGGTCGACGATCAACAGCTCAGGTCTGCCTTGCCAAGCGCCCTACAAGTTACAAGACCCAGCAAACATGGGAGGAACAGCAAATCAAGGCCCAAATTCTGTGGTACTTGCAAAGGTTGTTGTGGTGCATGACCAATTGCAGGAGTTCTCTTTCATTAACGCCGCTGGGAGGAATTCTTGGCTGGTGTGTGGGATGCTGCCCAATAAAGGGCAAGTATGCACATAAACACGAGGCTGTTCTTGAGAAAGTATTGCTGGCGTGGCGGACTGGGAGGGACCAGTCTCAGCTGTCAGTGCTGGCAAGGGCGTGAGACATCATAAGACTGTTGTTTTGTGGGTCAATGCGCTGGAAATGCTGCTCAAACCTCGACTCCAAAGATCTTAAATAAAACAGCATGGCACTTCAAATCATGGCCAGGACATGTTCTAATCTGACCAAGGGGGTGAACTGGCGTGCTTGCTGTCCTAGCAGTCAGGTGACGGATTGTTGCGTATCAATGAATCTTTGGGGCCCCTGGCCTTCTCCTGTGATGGACCCACTACCACATTGATGCCGCCCCGCTTTCCCAGAAGGATTAGCTTTCAACCCCCAAAGAGCTGCCAACCATATCAACTGTCTTGATCTTGGCTTTCAATATGTCCCTCCTCCAAACCGTTAAACCCAACCATAGACCTTGTAAGCCATACCAGGCACTTCCCAACAGATCAACCCACCAGTGGCAGTCCGGATGACAGGTCTGCCTCTTCACCCAGCAGCAGTGGGCAGCTCACGCCGGGCCCATGCCGTGGCCTCGAGACCGTCGGTGATCCGACTGAGACGCCGTGGCGACGAGGAACCGTCTCCACCGACCGCCTCACGGCAAAAGCAACGACGTCGGTCCGAACGACCGTCCGCGTTTTCACGACTGTCCCCAGTGTTCCACCTCACCCAGAAAGGCGGAGGCGGTCTGCGCCCCGTCGCCGGCGGTCCGGTAGACAGCGGACCCAACTTCTCCAAGGGTGGAGATCTCGAGAGGGCGAGAAGAGAAGCAGGCGTCACGCGGCGGCGATGCGATCTCCGGCGGCCTTGACTGAGGCTTGAACCCTGCAGTTGAGGGCACCAAGAGTATGGATCTCATGATCTGCGGATCCTGAAGCATCGGTCGCGAGATGAGATGACTGGACCCCACACACCGTGGGCACCACATGGAAAGCGAAATGGCCCAAAAACAGACCTCAATCATCCCTGTATGGAATAAGTCGTATATCTACTGTACCTACGTTGACCCCTGAAACCACCCCAATGTAGGTAAATAGGCCGGGCAAAATACGCCACACACGGATGGTCTGGGTTCATGATTCTTCCCTGGCGAATATGGGAGCATCTAAGTGGCAGGGGTGTGATCAATGCGGGTTTGGAGCCCTGCTGGAGGGGAAGTCCTGCCCCGATGCAACCAACTTGTGCCCTTCCCCGGCCCTGACGCGCTTACAAAGGTGTACCCAGTTTGGAGTTTGTCATGCATCAACTTCCTTCAGACTCATGACCGGTCATTCTGGTCCCTTCTCGCAGTTGATGGAGGGATCCTGAGAAGTAGCATCTGTCGAACGGATCTGGGGAGCCGAGCTAAAAGCTGAAGACCTTGTTCTTCCAGCGGGTCGACCTCGCGCCCCTGGCGCGCGGCCGGATGGCCCGATGCCAAGGCCCGGCAAGCGTCCACAGTGGTGGGTGACCCCCTCAAGAACACACCCTTTTCATAGTTCTGACTTCCATCCCTAGTTACACACGCGACATACAAACAGTAATATACATATCTATATAGTTGTATACATTATATAGTTATATATAATATATAGTTACCAAAGGAAGTTTAGTGTGCAAAACTTCCGTGTTACAGACATTCAACAGCTGTTCAATACACCACTCATCATACACCACTCATCAGACAGCACTCATCATACACCACTCTTCATACACCACTCATCATACACCACTCATCATACATCATTTATCATTGGCGTGACTTATCATACACCACTCATCATACACCACTCATCATACACCACTTATCATGCACCACTCACCATCCAGCTAGCTCTAGTTTCAAGAGCTCTAGCTTGAGTTAGCTCATGTTAGCTCTAGTTTCAAGAGCTCTAGGTCCGGGTAGCTCTAGTTTCAATAGCTCTAGCTCCAGGTAGCTCTAGTTTCAATAGCTCTAGCTCCAGTTAGCTCTAGTTTCAATAGCTCTAGCTCCAGTTAGCTCCAGTTTCAACAGCTCTAGCTCCAGTTTACGTGGCAGGCGCAGCACTTTGAACCTCCATGTGCAGAATTCGTGGCAGGTGCAGCACTTTGTGAACCTCGAGGTGCAAATTTCGTGGCAGGCAAAACACTTTGTGAACCTCCATGTGCAGATTTCGTGGCAGGCACAATACATATTTTGTAGCGTTTTCGAGAGATAGCGGACGCACGACATGCGGTGTTTTTCCCGAATGCGCAGCGAAGGGTTCCCGTTTATAGTTGGGGGTCTGGGGGTTGGACCTGTGTTTGCATGGCTTGCGTCGCGTCGTCGTCTCTCGTCGTCTGTCGTCGTCTCTCGTCGTCTGTCGTCGTCGTGTCGTCGTCGTCGCGTCTCAAATTTGCTGCCATTGGGGGAAGCTTTTGCAAGTGACTTTGCATGGACGCGTCACGTGTCAGTTTGCGCCGCTATTCCATTGTGATTTGCGTGAGACGGACATGTCGCGCAAGAAACGTGATTCAGTTCGCTGCACAGGCGCAGCGTTTTGTGAGATCCGCAGATGGCTGCGCAGTTCCATTGGGATTAGCGTTTGGAGAGTCGTGTTTTTGGGGTGTTGGATGTGGCCGTGCCATTGGGATTTGCGTGTGAGGGTGTGGCATCGAAGCGCTGTTTTCGTGACAAGTCTCAGCTGAAATGGTGATTTTGGTGGATGGGAGTGTGCTCAGAACGGGTCGAAATCATTCCAAACGTGTGGTGTGAAGCAAATTTTGTTGAAGCTCACATGAGATGATATAGGCACTTTTCGTGGCAGGCGCAGGACTTTGTGCGGGTTTTGAAGCGTGGAAGTGCGATTTTCGTGGCAGGCGCAGGGAATCGTGAGGTTGCGAGGTGTGGCGGAGGTGACATTTCGTGGCAGGCACAGGACTTTGTGCGCGTTAGACGTGTGGACGCGGAAAGATTCGTGGTTGTGAGTTGTGGTAGAGGTGAATGTTGCTGTCACATTGGGATTGGGGCGAGCGGATGTTGTTTGGAGGGGCTGGAATCGCGAAACTGCTTGGCAGGGCTGCGCGATGGGTGTGCTCCGATGGGTGTTTCCGCTTGACTTTGGGAGGAAGTCTCGTACGAAACGCTCGTTTTGGAGCCTTGACGTGTGACTTTTGGAGGAAGTCTCGTACGAAACGCTCGTTTTGGAGACTTGACGTGTGACTTTTGCAGGAAGTCTCGTACGAAATGCTGGTTTTTGAGACTTGACGCGTGACTTTTGGAGGAAGTCTCATACGAAACGCTCGTCTTGCAGCCTCGCAGCGTGACTTTTGGAGGACGTCTCGGTGCCCAACAAGAGTGTCCCACAAGAGTTTCGCACAAGAGTGTCCCACAAGCGTGTGCCACAAGAGTGTCCCACAAGAGTGTCCTACAGGAGTGTCCCACAAGAGTGTCCCACAAGAGTGTCCCACAAGAGTGTCCCGCAAGAGTGTCCTACAAGACTGTCCCACAAGAGTGTCCCACAAGAGTGTCCCAAATGAGTGTCCCACAGGAGTGTCCCACAAGAGTGTCCCGCAACAGTGTCCCGCAAGAGTGTCTCACAAGAGTGCCCCTTAAGAGTGTCCCACAAGAGTGTCCCGCAACAGTGTCCCACAAGAGTGTCCTACAAGAGTGTCCCACAAGAGTTTCCTACAAGAGTGTCCCACAAGAGTGTCCTACAGGAGTGCCCCACATGTGTCACAAAAAGATTATGTTTGCGGTCATCGTGCTGAGTTAAACGTGTGATTCATTCGGGTTCGTGGGTTCCATCTTGTTCATCTTGTTCAATAGAAAGGGTGGCTCCGAAGCTGGCAACTCAAGCTTTGCGGAACGACGTGTGCGAGACGGTCTCGGGTCATGCTCGGATCATGCTCGGATCATTCTCGGAATCGTCCTTCCATAGTACGCGGAGTATCTGGGGAGCTGGAAGATGAGAACTGGCGACTTTCTAGTACAACTTCAGTACGCGGAGCAATCTGTGGAGCTGGAAGCTGAGAACTGGCGACTTCAGAGTGCAACTTTAGTACGCGGAGCATCTGGGGAGCTGGAAGATGAGAACTGGCGACTTTGTAGTACAACTTTAGTACGCGGAGCAATCTGTGGAGCTGGAAGCTGAGAACTGGCGACTCGCGGGGCAATCTGTGGAGCTGGAAGCTGAGAGCTGGCGACTTGGTAGTACAACTTTAGTACGCGGAGTGTTTGGGGAGCTGGAAGATGAGAACTGGCGACTTTGTAGTACAACTTTAGTACGCGGAGTATCTGGGGAGCTGGAAGCTGAGAACTGGCGACTTGGTAGTACAACTTTAGTACGCGGCTGAGTCATCTCTCGCGGCTGCTCTGGCCCTGCAGCTGAGTCATGTCTCCCGACCAACCGGCTCTCTTGAGAGGTTGACAAATTTTAGCCACTTTGCTTACTCAAAAGTGGTCATTTCGATTACTTTCTGGAGACCTCAAAGCACGTGTTTCGAGAGGTTGACAAATTTGAGCTAATTAGCTTCGTGTCTAGACAAGCTATCACATCATAGTTAACGCCTAGCTCCAGTTAGCTTTAGTGGAGCTAGAGCTAGAGCTATGCTTCACTCATCACTCATCACTCATGCGTCTGATTGAGGGACACGAGGGACACGCATGGTGGAAAGAACCGGGACACTCCTATGTCAATTTGTTCTTATAGGAAACCTGCGCCGCCGGCTTGCCCGAGAACTGCTTGTATATATACGGTATATGCATGTATACTGTAAAAATATGTAAACATATGATAGGTTATGTAAACATGTTCATCCACATTTCTGCTTACGTATGTGCCATACACACCGTTTGACCCTAAGCCCCAAGCTTTGAGCAGGTGGATTCTGTCCGTGCACTCCTTTCCATGATCAAACCCCCTCCGCGTGGCGGTCAAAACGATGAGGGGCCGGAGATCAGGGTATCCCATCGCATCCCCCTGTCCGATGCTTTGGTCACCCGGTCCGGTGATTCGAACGGTGATTCCGAGTTCGGGCGGGGCACAGGATGGTCCACACAGGAGGGTTCCATTTCGTGAACATTGAGTGCCTTTGGTGATGCGATCTCAATGCGCTCATCGATCCTTTCAGAGTCAAGTGGGCGGATTTGAACCATGTCCATCCCTACCACTATTGAACACTGAAAACGGGGTCCCCTATCAGGGGGCCCCAAGGGTGTTTGGACGTTACTTGTAAGGGGTGGTTTATGGTCACCCCTTACCACCCCCTAAGCCTAGGTCTCTTAGGTAATTTTGAGCATTTTGACACGCTTCCTTGATCAAAGCGCTCTTTTGCGTCTTTGGTGCGTCACGGTTTCAGGCTGTGCGTCACGGTTTCGAGTGCATTTCCGGAATTTGAGCATCCATAACTTAAAGCTGTAAGACTGTAAGACTCACCAGTTCACAACTGCCACGCATTTCCAGGCATTCAGGCGACGGGCCGATGATCAACTCAAACGCTGCACGGGACAACTGGTCGAAGAAATGGCTAAAAACAGTTCTCACGTATCTGACAACATCTGCTCTGGGACATCTGGTCGCGTGAAGGCGAAAAAGGTTCGGGTTCTGTTCTTGAAACAGAACCCAAGTGAATGCGGCCAGCGCAGTGCTTGGCGCAGGCCCCGCCCCTCAGCCATCTCTCAGCCTCGGTGCTGGTTTCTCACCCGGTTTTTCCCATCAAAGGTTTCCCATGGTTTCCCCTTGAAAAGGCTTTCTCTCCGAGATTGCGGGAAGGTCTTGGCTTCAGTCTGGTCCCAAAAGAAGGCTTTTTTACGGCTGCTCTGCTGCTTTAGTCTCAAGATGTCTCAAAAGCTTATATTATTGGTTTTGCAATGTTTTGCCCAACATCTGCCCCGGGGATGTCCCTTGCCAAATCCTATCACATTTCATACACGGAGCATTTGCACCATGTTGTGCCTGCGTTCAATGCAGTTTCAGGGGTCCATCGTTGCCAAATATATGCCCAAATCTACCCTGCAGCTGTTTGGGGCACGACCTCCTGGAAGCAATCCCGCCGCTTGAAGGCGCGACAAAAGGGTGGTCGAATCGAGCCATGCCGTGCGGCGACCGAAACACTCCGCCTGACATAAGGACTGAACCGCCAAGTCAACGCGCCATCTGTTTCTTCCAGCGCGGAGGAAGCGTGCGAGAATTTGGGCACTCGATTTCTACATGTGAGGAGGGGCTCCTTCCCTATTCTTTGGTCCCAGCATAGTCACTCAATAAATAGTCCAACTGTTCGGAATTGGTAGGATGGCGCACGGGTGGCAAAGGAAGCCCCTCCGAAATCCCGCTCAAGCCTGACGGCGGAAGCTTCAAGCTTAAATTCAGGCAGAAAAGCCAAGAGAAGGCAACGCCCTGAGAAAACTGTTGATATCATCAAAGGTGCTCCTTTTGCCAAGTGGTTTCTGTT